GCTGCTGCAGGCAGACATATGCTGTTAAATGTTAGTTTGCTGAAGGAAAGCTTTGTGGCTGGGATATCAGGGAGGGATCATTACTCTAAACCCACCACCAACAGTAACCACGGTTTGTGTACCTTAATGAGATACATCCTTTTATAATAGTATAATGAATCATTTCACAGCAGAGGGGCCAAGTTACTGCAAGGCACATAGTCTTATTTCTCTTGACATCAGTCTCTCTGCAGCCACTGCTTGACATACGCTTGTCACATTTGTGAGGCCGCCATTTTGTCTCCTGCATATTAAACATTCAATTTACCTTTAACTTTTTTGTTTGGTTCAATTTTGCATCATTTGTAGTACAGGCTGGGTAATTTGAGGAGATACAGTTTGTGCTCTCCATACCAAGCTGAACATGATGGATGATGCCGTATAAGTATAAAATTGACAACATATGAGAACTAAGTGTGGAACTGCATGACAGGAATGCAATTTTAAAATCAGCTCGGGCATCGCTGTGTATGTGAACAAAAGTACATATGACTGCATACATACAGAATGGTGACAAATTAAAGGTGTACGCAACATAAAGTGTCTTAGTAAGGTGACAGGCCACCAGAAGCTTCAAGCATGCTTTGCAGAATCTTTACTAGAATCTGAAAATCTATTTGAGTGATGAACACCAAAGATATTCCCTCATTTGGTGTTTTGATGATGGTAAATATTATAGAATGCTGTCTACACAGTGGTTCCATCTGAACTGGAAGACACAGATGTTTACAGATGAATGAAAATGGTAACATCAGCATGCTAACACACTAAAAAGGCTTAGACATGCAAAATTCAAAAAAGATTTACCATGTTCACCATCTTTGGTTAGCGTGTTAGCATATTAACACTAATAACCCTAATACTAAATACTAATTAATTAACTAACTGACTTTTTTTCTTCTTTCCTGGAACGGTAACATACCTGTAGTATCTAATTCACATAATTTTCATTCTCATCAAACAATTCAGTGACACCTTATGGAAACATCTGCTTTCACTGTTTTTTTCCTTAAATTTCTAACCTTTCTAGTGTTTATTTTTTTACATACACATTTTCACATTGCCAGAGAACAAGTGACTACAATAAATAATTATCATATATAAATATGATCAGTTAACAATAAGCACGCCTCATTCAACACTCGACTCTGATTATACCAGAGGTAAATATATGTTTCCTTGAACCATCAAAGGCTTTTTAAGAAAATAAAGAAATAGTACCAAGCATGCCACTGAACTGTCAAAACAGTAAAAAAGGCCTTCCATATTTCATAACAGATTTGTCTAAGAGTGATCTGTTGTCACAGCAGTGAGTTTGAGCAGGAATGCTAAAAGCAATTTTAGGTCTAGTTGACAAGATGTGACTTTGGGCCACCAAATCCTCCAAATCTGATTTAGTCCAACAACACCTGGCTTGTCTGAAGGGTCCTGTGATCCCCCACCTCCAGCCTTCACACTCCACTAGCAGCATCCAGGGTTTGAGTGACAGAAAAGTAGTGGCAACGAGAAAGGTTGAACAGTCCATGCCGTACAGATCTTGAGTTGTGAAAAAAAATCCTATGTGTTGTGTCCAAACTTGGTGTTCAGTGATAATACAGCACAGCAGTAGACAGCAGTGGTTACCAGGGTCCTTTGGAGGAATGAAAATATTATTTTGACAGCCTCTTACAGACCAAAGTGGTTTCATATGTGGAGATTTATCTCTTGTGATGGCTTGTCTGAGGCAAGGAGGTGGGGATATAAGGAAGTAAGATTGGATGTGATCCTTGTGAAACTTCCATCAAAGCTGATGTCTACTGCTGGTCAAAAGAGGTGATTTATTTTTATTTTCTTAACAAACCCTGTTGCTGTGGTGTAACTCACTGTTTTTGTTCAGTAATGCTTGCACATGAATGTTTTTGGAGCTTAAAAAATAATTTATCTTGTGAAATTGATATGTGGTATTTTTAAATGCTGGATTCTTCAGACTGAACAGTTTCAACACTTCCCTAATAATGTCTTAATTATAGTTCTGGGACAGAGTAAGTCTTGATTGCATTTAGAGGATAATATCCTCCACTCTCACCTTTGTTGTCCTTTGCCATCCTCATTTGTAATCTAGTTGGCACAGCCACCACTATTGGTCACGGCAGTTTAATTGTGACATTAGGAAGCAACTTGGTTCTAGAGGGATCCACAAATGTCGTCTACAAATACAGCGTGAAAGTCACATAGCCTGGGCTGTGAGGAGATAAACACTCCAAATACACAGAGCTTGTTAGTCATGGTCCCTAATTACCAAACGGTTCATGTAGGAATGTCCCAATTGTCCAATCTAGCCTGCACAGAAGCAGTGCCAGGGAAGCTGTTGGCTTGCATAACTATTTGAATTTAAGATCTTTTCAAATTTTTTATTTTTTTTCTGTGACTGATCAAGATTTCTAGCCACAAACAGCTTTCTGTTTATCTGGATCCCTGTCAGTTCAAGGTAATTGCTTTTCTTTGCCGGCATCCTGACAAAAAAAAAGTTGTCAGTATTTTAATATTTATCACTGCTTGGCTGTAATCGCTGTGTGATGCAGAAAGCCTATGAGAACTCATCGTTGCCAAGACCTACATGAGTCATAAAGTGAATCATAATTTATTACCAAAGTGACAGTGATCCTTTATAATACCCATCATGCGCATATCTCTCATAATGTAAGTGATCAAAGATGGCGGGCATGTAATTGGATATGATTTCATTCATTATATGATGAGCAGCCGACAAATTGGGCCTTGTCCTCTGCCAGCAGTATGGGTCACAGCAATCAGTCAGTCAACTTGAAAGAGTCGTCCAGACACAATGTGGGATTACAACATCAGAAATAAAGCCAAATGCTGTTCTGGAAGTCTCCGTAAAGTCAACAGTCATGTTAAGTGTTCTCTTGGTAAATTTAGCCTCGTACACTGAGGAAGAGCTTGTTGACTCGATGGTCATGAAGACCTTCTAGTGCTCATAAGCATCAATACAGAGCTTTCGTTTTCTCCCACATGTATCAGGTATTATGACTCAACTCTAGTATGTGTGTGCTTGGGCTGTTTGAGTGTGTAAGTGAGTGCATACCTGTGTATTACTGCACATTTGTGTGCCAGTCCATAAAACCTTTAATGCAAGCTCCCCTAGAGGAGCTCTGCATTAATTATTGCCGAGCATTAAGTACAATACACCACAAGGCAACATCTGCTGCCAGGTAAGGAAAATGGCAGGGGAAGTTTCCTGGGTCGAGTGCTCCCTTTAGAAAGGTTGAACCTCAGCTGGGCTGCCGTGTCAAGGCCTTCCTGCCCACAAGCTTAGAATGTGAATGTTATAATTTTGTTCCAGTGTTCATGAAAATTAATGTAATATGAGATTTTGAATACCAATATTTGTTTTTGTACTATGCTAAAATGCTAAGACTCCCTTAAAGTTATAATCTTTACGATTTTCCATTTTATTCATGATCTGCATTTTTTCTGCAAAAAGTATTTACATTCTGTAATGAAATTCTTTGATGTTAACAAGAAAGAAGAAATAAAACTGACTAGATTTGACTTTTCATCATTGCTCAGAAATATGTTGTCATACTGGAAGTGGAAAAGTAAAATGAAATCACTCAAATATAAATACTGAAGTCTCTGCCTCATAAAGTTACAGTAGTAGGCAGCAACGGAAGGAGTACTCAGATATTTGACTTGAGTAAAAGTAGCTATACCACAGTATAGAAATACTCTGTTTTATGTACAATTCATGCTATACTTATATACTTAAGTAGCAAAAGTAAAAGTACTTATTATGCACTATATTGTATTTTATATTATTAGAATATAAATACTGATGCATTAATGTGTAAAGGTGGAACCAATTTTGATTACTTTATATACTTCTGGGTCACTTGTGAAATGCCCCAGGGGTTCAATAAAGACTTATTATATTTGATCAAATTAATCTGAACATGCAAAGCAACTAAATGTAGTTAAATAGAATACAGTAGTTCAATAAATGTACACCACCACAAGTAGGTGTGAAAAGTGTCTCCAAGCAGAGTCGGATCAGAATAGATAAAAAGCTCTGTGATTCAGTACTTTCCTTAGAATCCATGCTGAATTTATATGTAAATGAAAAGTACCTGATACCACACACTCTCACAAGACAACACCACCTTCCACAACTACCACACCATCATGCAATGGTGCCACTGTGTGGAAGAAAGCTGCACGCACAACCTGCAGTGACTACATAATGACAAATGGATTACATACAGTATAAATCAGCACAAAATCAACAAGGTTTCAGCCCTACGCTTTCAGTTCTTCCCTACAATACAAACATAGAAGGTAAACAATAGGCCAGATTAGAGCTTTACTATAATGAAATACTGGCAGCACTGTAGCAATACATCAACATTTTTTGAGGAAAAAAAACAAGAAATAAAATAAGAAAAAACACTTTTACTGGAATTCAGATCAATTTAATTTTTAAAAAATCATACTGATGACAAATTGCATAACTTAATACTGATAATTTAAGTAATGACTTCCAGGTCAGCTAATACTGTAACCTCATTATTCTTGATTTAATTTGGTGCTACATTTATTAAACAATGATCGTATTAAATCATGTCAGTAAAATACATTTGTAGAGAGATGTGGCCTGGCTGATCTGAATTCTTGCCATCCTCAAGCCCAATCCATTAGTTCAAAGTAAATTCCAGTAAGGAGGTTCAAGTTTTGGCTGCTGGTTCAGTATACTTTCTATTTCTATTCTATTCTAAAATCTCACACTTTCCAAATATGTCCTGATTTTCTTTTCACACCCCACGGTCTTTACTCTTTACCCTGCATTTAACAACTAAACAGCAGAGTGTTTATGACAGGGGAAGATAACAGATGCTCAGTGAAGGAATATAAAAACCGATGACACAATATATTGTATATCATGCCAGGTAATTGGTAGAGGTACTGTCATTCCCTATACGAGACCTGCAAATGCTGGACTACATTTGTTGCGGAAGAACCATAAAGACTGAGAACATATTAGAGTGGATTTAACTCTAAATTCAGACTTTTATGTATCGAGAAAATACATAATGTGTTTTTGCTCTGGATGTTATTTTGTCTAAAATGTAAGTTATTTCCTTTTGTGGACTTTGACTCCTCAGACCATCATCATGGCAACCAAGAGCCCAGCCCGTGTTGTGCTCATGTTTGTTGGATTGCTTACCTTTTTGGCTGCTATCACCTTCAACTCTCTATCAGGATTTGGTGCTAAATCAGGTGATTATTTGTCAGATTAATCAAATCAGTTTAATTTTGTAAAGTATGTTATGGAATGAATAACCAATTGTGTTTCTCTCAATACAGGTGTTTTCAAGCAGAGTACAGAGGATGTGACACTCAAGTATACAACACCCATAACTCCTGCTCAGTGGGCTCTGTTTGTCTGGGATTTCATATATATTTGGATTCTTGCTATGTTTATATACTTTTTAGTAGGACTCTGTAGACGGTAGGCTTCTACACCATTTGTCATATTTTCATACATAATTTACAAAAGGGATAATGCTTAATAGCTGCATGCCACTGCATAAATGTGTCTATTTCTTAATGCTTTTATCTCATCCTCTTGCATTATTGCACGCACCAAATCACTCCACCTACTCCAGAGGCAATTTAGTCTTCCTCTGTGCAGTCATTTTCTCGTTACATGTTGCAGATTGCTCTGACATAGTATGATTATTTCCCCACAGGCACTATTTGTTTGCTGTGGTGTATTTTCTCTCCCGAATCAAACAATATTATTCTTGCTCCCCGCAGGACTGCTCATGACTGGATGTACACCACGCCTGCAGTGTTACCCTACGGGTTTCATGTCTCTATTATCATCAATTTTTCCTTGAATATTACATGGTTGTTTCTGTTTGACAGAGAGTGAGTGTGAGTCCATGTTGGCCAAACAAACATGGTCGTCTATTTCTGAGAATATGATTAACGGCTGTATTTTTTGTTGGCACTCCTGACAGTTTAAATGTCTGCTTTTCTCTGTGTGTGTATAGGTTGTTGCTGCCAGGGCTGATAACCTCAGCACTTATGACAGTCACCGATTACATGATCCTATTCTTCTCCTGTCATGGACTGAAGATCTATGGAGCCTGGTTGAACAAATATCGAAACGCAGACCTTTGGCTCATCAGAATATTGGTAAAATAGGCATTCTTTCTCCTTTTTGGACTTTGAAATAGGTGATTTTCTTAGATCTCCACTTGGCTTCAAAGGGAATAACGAGTAAAAAAAGAAGGAAGTAGAGTGTGTTTGGTTTACAGACAGTGTAAAGTCTCAGGAAAAAGCTTGTAAAAAACAGTAATAAATTTGCACATTCACCAAACAAAGGTGCTCTTTGGAGCGAAGCATTAAACATGCATAGTAGCCTATAGTAAAGATTTAAAAGCAATTTTGTATAGGACTGTTACACTTACACGTTTTAGTAGTGGCCTTCATCAAGATACATTTTAACCTTTACTGCCTTTCATTTCCCTCTTTCAGAAACAACACTCTAATCTCATCATTGCCTTGGAAAACATAACCCATATTTGCATGAAAAACTCAAAATTAAAAACAAAAACAAAAAAATAGTGTGCTGTATCCTTATAAGCAACTTTCTTATAAAGTTGTAACTGTGAACTTTAACAGCCAAATGCTGTCACTGTCCAGTGAAAACCATGTCTCCCCAAATTTGGTGATACTGAACTTTTCACTTAAACACAGACAGTTATGTATTATATATTTATAGGTGGAGAAAAGGCACCTATTTCTTAAGCTAAATAAGTATCTAAAAACTCATGGAATTGTCTGAGAAATGGAAATTAAAAGATAATTTCACACAATACAGTCTGTTTACAGGTCTTCGGAAGTAATGTTGCACATGTGAAAAAAGTTGTATAAAGCCTTTTCTTGTAGGGAGGTGCGTGAAATCTAATACATTTCCTCAAGTGATGTCACTTTAGGCAACATTGGTTGGGGGCTGAAGACTACAAGTTTGAAAATGAAAAAATCTTGGTGTATGGAGGTAGAAAGGAATGAGCTTACCAGACCTCTGTAGCCCGCTTCTCATCTCTGCTTGATGCTAGTGGCACGAGGCTATATTAGCTGCTGCTACTAGTGTAACACACCCAAATCTCTGACCAAACAGTCGGTGGGCAAGTTGTATTGTGGGTTATATAAGCACCAGGATTTGACAAGGAAGAAGAATACATGAAAAAAGAGACACAGTGTTCTCACAGGACAGTGAAGATTTATTATTGAAAAGCTTCTTCAAAATATTTCCTTATTCCATTCTGACTATGGTGGTGTCACAGTCTACGTTTCTTCTATTCCTGCCCTATAGAGCTGTTCATCTACAGTAGACTTAAAGGTCCAGTGTGTAAGTTGGAGGATCTATTGACAGAAATGCAATCTAATATTCATATGTATGTTTTCATTAGGTGCTATCTGCAACTTCACTGCTAGATGCCACTAAATCCTACACAGTGGTCCTTTAATGGAATTGTTTGTCCATTTGCTAGAGTTAGATGAGAAAATCAATACCATTTTAATACCTGTATGGCAAAGATTAAGCTGTGTGGCCTGCTTGTAGTGCTAAAACTGGTAGTTGATCAATAGAAAAATAACAATGACTGGTCATTTCAGGCCTAGCTGCCGAGCTAAAAAAATAATTGTTTGTACTGTCTGGACTCCAACATTAAATTAAGGATGCTTATATGTTGCCTAAATAGACATCTGCATTACTAATCATTCAAGCTTATTTCATTGTGTTAAATCAGGTGCAAAATGGAGTAGCAGTATATGCAACCTGGGGGACTCTCTACACTCTACTGAACTTGACGATATACTTACAATATCAGACAGATAAATCGAGATGTGATTGTGCAATATTGTCACTGCTGCTGCTTCTGATGAAGCTGTTAGCCTGGTGAGTCTGACTCCCTGCTGTGTTCTGTCATTTAGCTGTGGGTGTTTTTTCTTCCCCTGAGAGACGATATAACTCAAGTCTTCTGTCTTTGTCTCCCTTTGCTCCAAGGTTTCTGTTAGAGAACTTCTACCTTGATGAGCATGTGCGTTATATTGTGACCATTTACCCTGTGGTAATCCTGTGGTTGACAGGCACCCTGAGCAATTCTACCTCTCTTGATAGTCCCATTTACATCTTTGCAGGTACTGCTTGATACCACACACTCCCAATGTACCTTTCTCATTTCTCTGTACATTGATCATTGAATTATATAGTTATTTATTCTATATTCTCTCTATATTTTCCCTATTCAGCTTGGATCCTAGCTATTTCCTGCGCCATGTTTGTGGCACGAATTGCCCTGGTCACATGGAGGCATCACAAACGACAGCTTTACAACACCAGTGCACCCACTATGTCACCAGTAGAAATATCCTTGACACAAAGAAAACTCTTTCTATAATTATTATTATTATTATTTTTTTACTCATTCTTTTTTTGTTTTTTCTTTCCCAGTAGTGTTCTTCTGGATGGCAATCTCAGTCAATCGATATGAAATTTACAGTCGATTTAAACACTACAATCAAAGTGTAAATAATGCTAAAATGTGAAAACTAAAACAATTGTGCATTACGCAGCTCACATAAAAATTACTCTACAGTTGTTTAACAAATAAAAGAAAAAATGGAAGTAAAAAGGAAGTCATGATTATTTTTTGAATTCAGTTTTTTTAATCATTCACAGTCAAATGAAATAACAATACATAGAATTAATTATGGGCTAATAAAATAAGAATACTAAGAAAAGATGAAAAACAAGGAAAGACAACAAAGATTACAGAACAATAATAAAAAAATGTAATCAACCTTCGGGCATTTCCCAGCACAACAACATTTCCTCTTGTGTGATTTACCTAAACATTTGTAAATCTACATGATAAACATTTTATTAAGAAAGTACGCGTTAAGACAATTGGACCTTTGAGAAGTCTTATTCAAGGCTGAAACTAACGGTATATTCTTAATATAACCAATCTGTTTGTCCATACAATGAATGTCAAAAAATAGTGAAAAATGGCCATTACAGTTTCTCAGTAGAGAAGGTGACCTTTTCAAATAGCTTGTTTTTTTTTTTCAACCAAAAGTACAAAATCCAAAGATATTCAGTTTGCAGTAATATAAAAAAACAGAGAGAACAGAAAATCCTCATATTAGAGAAACTGGAAACTTTGCTTGAATAATAAGTTAACTAATCAATAAGTCACACAAACATATCCCTGTGATAAGTAACTATACCAAGTGAAAACTGATGTGTATAACTGTATCAGTTGAGTGCCCTAATGTCAGCATCTGCCTGTTGGACAGAAAAGAAGACATAGTACCAGTGCTTTGTCTCTTTATCTTTCTGACACACACACACACACACACACACACACGCCCCTTACAGTATCATAATTACAGGGATTAACAGCTCCAATCAAAGTGATACCATAAAACTGTACAGTGCATGCAGCGATCCAAAGTCCAAAATATCACATTGTGGTGACAAATATTGTGCCTAACAGTGTTCTGAGCTGTAGTTAGGCACTATGGTGAGGTTCCGGATGTCTTCCCTCTTAGAGAAAAACAGTGACCATATAGTGGTACATGCTGGGAGCATTGGCCTGGCTGTCATTACCCAGATGATCTCAGAAATCTTCTTCATTCTGGCAAAGGACAGCTGCGTGCCCAATGGTGAGTGACTTTACATCTACTGTATATTTCAGCCATGTAATCGAAACCAGAGGGTAGCATTCAGAGCTTGAAATTTGGAGAATTTGATGTTTTAAATAAGATGGTCTTGTGCCCATAGTGATGTGTTATTAGTAAATGGCGGTGTCACATACTTCAGTCAGCAGTCAGGATGATGATATACTGTATTTTAGTGTTTAACTTATGATGATTAAGAACTTGTAGCATATTTAGCTATGGATATTTAATGTGACAGAGGAATGCTTAATATTGGAAGCCATATCTTCAGGGGCTTAACGTTTTACTGTGTACTTCTTACTGAAAGACCTTTGCCCTGACAGTCCTTTGATGTCATTTTTGCTAGCTATTGACCTGGATGGAGGCCAATGAAACCAACTTGCCATATAAAAACACTCACACACACACACACACACACACACACACACACACACACACACACACACACACACACACACACACACACACACACACACACACACACACACACACACACACACACACATACCTTGCAATCTAGACTGATAATCTATAATTCTATAAAAATTGGATGTTTTATTACAGTGTCTTTAGGAGAGTATATATTTGAAGGGGATCTTATTAATGTCCCAGCTACCTGTCTGGAAATTTCTCATATATCCTAACCAAGAATCAGTGATATTTTTTCTTGTCATTCAGCTCTGTTTCAGACTTCATCCAGGGATGTGTCTGAGACCTTCCCCCTGGAGGTGACTATGGACTGGTGGTCAGGAAGTTACTGCATTATGATAGACTTTTGGTCTAAGGCTTGGCTCCTACATGCAGTGGTCAACCTTTTCAAAAGGTAGGGGGGATGGTGTCTTTAAGGCTTTATACAATGCTAGAATAAAATGCGGTTTAGCATAGCTTCTGGGGTAATTGAAGGACCAGTGTGTAGGATTTAGTGGCATCTAGTGAAAAACGGTAGGGTAACAAAACAACAATTCATATATTCAGGTGATAATACATTAATGATAACACACTTATGAATATTATTTTCCATTTGTGCCGATAGAACCTTCTAAGTGTTACACACTGGACCTTTAAAGTTACAATCCTTAAGATTTCAGTCCTGTTTGATTTTTTTACAAATGCGGTTTAATACTAATCCCAGAAAACACTTCTTTAGCTACTACTTTGTCAGAAATCTGTTTACAGTGCAATCGAAAAAAACTTATAGTAAGTATGCGCAGGTAGGCAATATTAATTCCAGCAGGGGCAGGAATGGCGGACTCCGCCACTAATGATTAAAACTACTTTATGGAAAGGTAATAACAGAATGTAAATACATTGAATGGCATATGCTGAACCATAAATAGTATCAACAATTGAGCTTGATTTAATAAAATTCTCATGGTTTATAACTTGAAGACTGTTATTGATCCATCTGTAGAAATGTCCTTGGTCCTGTGTCTTGCAATCCGGAAATCCACCCTCCAGTATTTTATCTGATGTGGACCATGATTAACATTGCAAGAATGTGCAGCATGTCTCTGTGGGACAGACAGTAAGTCAATTTTCTCATACAAGGGTAGACACAACTACAGTAACATTTACACTCACAAAGGAATATGTGTGCACAAGCAATCAAAGCTGCTGTTGCTCTCTACAGTGATATACTTGCAGCCGTCGCACTGAGTTGGATTCTACCAGTCCTCAGCTTCTACATGCTCTACATGTCCTACTCCAATCTCAACAAGCACAAAGCATGGTTAGCCATTAACAACTCTAGTGTGATCTCGTGGACACGTTACCTGGTGAGGCCGCTTGGTCAAATTTAACATTTTGCCACCATGAGTTGTGTGAATTTCAACTCCATGTATATGTATATGCTTTGTCATTTGTGGCAGACCCAGAATGGCTTGGCAGTGTTTGCCTGGTGGGCTCTTTTGAATGCTGTGGTGGGTCTAGGCATTGTCTTCAAGTACAAAGTTGGTGTGCCGGACCCACTAATCAGCACCATTGTCCTCACCATAGTCTTCTTGTGCACTGTAACCTGGTAAGGACAAAAATACTGGAGATTTAAAGGAATGCCTAATATTTGCTTTTGGCTTTTGTTTGTAAAGCAAATTTATGGAAAGATTTTATTTTAAAGAAGTGATTGAACATTTTGCTACCCTCAGGTTCATCCTACAGAGATTCCTGTTAAACAAGTACTTGCGCTACACATTCAGCGTTTACCCCATTCTAATTCTGGGCCTGGGTGCAATGTTTACCCGAAGCTATTGTGTCAATGACCTGGCTGCAAACACAGTCTATTGTGGTAAGATGCCACCTTGTGCACATTTAGCAAAGAATTGTTCATCAAATTCATTGTGAAAGTTTACCCTGTCCTCTCTTATCCTAGGGTTCCTTATGCTCCTGATGACCACCATGAGCTTGGTCCATTTAATCTCTGAATGTTTGCACACGGATGAGTCAAGCAAGCCTCTTGCCACGGAGCCTTATCTGTCTTTTGAGGGCTGTGAGACGGTGTGCCGACCTGAGGGCACCATCAAACACAAACCTCAGAAGTGATGACATGAAGAAAGCCTTCTGCAAAATCTAACAATAAAATTATAAAACAATTAAATATAACAACTTGTGTATTATGCAACAGTGAACATTTGCAAGGGTGCACTTTATATTAATCACCAAAAGGGGGCAGCATATGCTCACTTCACACTGAGAATGTGCCATGACAAACAAAAGCTCTGTTGTACCAGAAGATGGCACAGTAATTCAAGCTTTTACAGGGAATTTATCTCTGTGTTGAGCATGTGATTCAAAATTGAATACAAAAAGTCTATAGCAGCCCAAAAAAAATAAAACGATTATCCATTGTGGCTCTTACAATTTTTGTGCTTATGGGGTCAAATTTTATCCGTCTTTATTATCCTAATGCACACATAACTCTCAATATAAGAGGAACCAAGGCGAGGTTAAAGGGAAAAAAACACAATAGCTTGTTTTTTATGAATTTTCCAGATTGGTGAACAAACAAAGTTCATTAAAAACCTCTGTACCCTCTCTTACCCCCTCTCTGCGTCTCTTACTGTGTCTGTGACGTGATACTCCAGAGATAATCACACACGCTCAAGTTTATAAGTGCCCTCTTTCTTGATGCGGCTTAAAGGATGGAATATCAAACATGCCCGTTGGCTGTGGGGAAGAGCAGCACGACCTTTGATGAGGACGCTGGGCTGAATGAAACCGAATGTCAGATGAAAGCAGCGGGGAAAAAAAGACAATAGGGATACAATGAATGTGTCCATGGATGGACATGCTGACCACACAGCCAAGCAAATTGGTCTCCATCACGTGCTCTTTTTTTCCACATATATACTACATCAGTTCTGATTAAGATGCATCTAAAAAAAATATATTATTTGGATTGCTAATCCTATTGTTGCTTTTCCTTGCTGTTGGTGAAGTGTTATTTTGGTATTTACAGACAGATATTAGATTGCAAAAGTGCCTTCTGTTGTGGGTGGATGTCTGTGACCCTGATCATAAACTCATGTTGGCAATTTATTTTACTGCCTCATTTGGAGAAAACCCTGCTGAATGCTATTCTCTGCTATCTCTGGCTTCATAATGCAGAACTGATTTGCTTTCAGGGTCGTCGCTAAAACAGGAAGAGTTAGAGCACGCAGGAGTGGAAAATCACTAATTACAAATCACATCACTAAAAAGTTATTTTTGTGTTTGTTGAGTAAGCAACTCTGCTTCCAGAAACATTGATTTGGATGGAGTATAACACTGTAGGAACTACAAAGAGCTGCCTGCAGTGATGATATTGTGACTCAATCAGGAGGATTTTCCATTTATGTTTGATATAAACCTCTTGTTTTAAGTACAATTGAAACGGTTAGTTGATTAATTGATTTGTTGATCAACAGAAAATGAAAACTGAATCTGCAGTTGTTGATAATGAATTAATCATTTAAGTCTTTTAACCCAAAATGTTTTAAGATGTCACCTCGGTGTTCTGGGAAATTACAAGCAGCACTTTTTGTCATTTTCTAGCTTTTTATTGAACTTTTAAGAAATGATTGTCACGACAGGATAGTGTTACTGCATTAAAAGGGGAGAGGGATGAGCTGGAAGCGTGCCCTCAAATTATTAGTCTGCATTGGCATTTCTGTAGTGAATTATAATAACCTTTATTCAGAGTAAACTTGAAAAGAATTTACTACTTCCAGTAGTAAATAAATTCCATTTGAGTAGGATAGCCTCGTAGTATTTTCGCTCCTGACAACATAATGCATCAGCTTAGATGATTAAACAATAGCTATACCACAATGCAGCCGTGAAAAATATTTGGCAAGAGCAGAAAATTAGATTCCCCACATACCATTCGCCCTCCAGTAACAGATTAAATAAGTCCAATCAAATTTCCTTTAGAACTTAATTTCAACTATTCCCTCCCTGGCAAAACAGTTTTTATAAATACCAACAAGTGTTCAAAGTCATTTAAAGATGTCAGGTGATAGTGTATTAAAGGTGGCTGCAAAGTCCATTAAATTGCTTCATGGATGTGACTCCGGCACATATTGCTCTGTGGTGTGTTATCACATTTTCCCTCTGAGGCCAAATCCTCCCTGAAGTAAAACACTGGGGGGGAAAGGCAGACGTGAAGGAGGAAATGGAGGTGTTTTACTGTCTGGCGGGATTGTAATTGTTTCTATACTCCCCAAAGACCTTTTTCCCCATAAGAGAAATAACCTAGATATGCAAATTTGCATTCCCAATTAATTTAATTCATATAATTATGCAGAGAAAAGATATTGGGTTAAAAAGAAGTCTTACCTATTGCCAAGTTGTCCTCCCACTTAAGTCCCCTCAATCTGCAGGGTACAGCTAAATTAGCTTGGAATATTGAAGCATGCTCGGCTACACAGACGAGCACCAATTATCTCTGACATTTTAATGAGTGGTCTTCAGCCTTTTGGAATCAACAAACAATGAGTTGGTAGAAATCAATACAAGAAGAATACAAGTAGAATGTTTTAATGTAGTAACTAAATGCATAACCAGGACCTTATGACCCAATTACAGCCTTGTACTGGCCTTTATGTTTGAGTAAATTTCACTATGCTCTTCCATGAGATCTGGTTATGTTCAAAGTCTCCCAGAGCACAATTATGCTTCATTGGCTGCACTGAAGGACTGTTTAATTAAAAAGGCCTTTTAAAATAATGATTTATTGACTTACAGCTGAAATACTATTCAAATGTATTCATATTTGTTCTAAGGCAATACCAATCGTTTGTAATTAGAATAAACCATTCTTTATTTTCTTTAGTTCAATCTATTGCATTTTATGAGGAAGGAAGTTGTTTTATGTTCTTTTGGAGGGGATATCAAGCATATTTGTTGAAAACAATACAAAAATGCCCCCATCTGCAGGATTTGTTCATAAAGCAAAAAAAAGTAAACTATTAAAAGGATCAAACTATTTTGAAATCTGACCTGCAACCAGAAATGATGAAAATCTTTTTTGGTTTATATGACTGGTTTCCTTCAAAAGTAACAGATTAACTTAATCCACTCACTCAAGAGAGTTTCATTATTAAACAAACTAGTCACAAAATATGCATTCAGATATCTCATTTTAACTTTCTCAGCAGTATTGTGGTTTCAGGAGTCAACTTTCAATATAACACTAGCACAATGCAAGTAACAATACAGTCTGTGCACCATTTCATTATAGCAGCTACTGTATATCTAGGACTTAAAGCAATACTGTGATGAACAAGAGTTGAATAAATACATTTCGATTGGTATTCAAAGTGTTTAACATGGTGTGTGCATTTCAAAAAAGCTGACAGGGCAACAACAACATGCAGGAAGGCTGACATATTTGCTTTCGCTGGAAGCAAACAAACTTCAGCAATCCTCGGCATTACATATGTGGCACAGTGATGCCAATTAGCTTGGTAAAACAATTAGAATATATGTAAATGCTTTGAATTAATTAATCCCATGACACAGTTACACTAATTAGCTGGTAATCCCTGAGTCCTATTGCTCCATATTTAAGAGAAACCCACTCAGTCCAGATATGGGGACAGCACACACCAAAGAGTGAAATCTGTAAGAATAATTATTACTTGAAATTATGATTTTTTTAAGCGACATCTGACTAATTAGTGGTGGTGCTTTTTCGTCAGTGCAGACGAGCATTGATGTAGTCTTCTAGGACACAGGCAAACCAACAAGGAACTTGTTGATGTTAATCAAAAGATATAGATTTTAATTTACAGTCGTAATTAAGGGTGTAATAATTATACAGAACACGGTTCTCTTGTGGTCTTAAATTACTTTAAAAAGATAGAAATGTAATCCAGCACCACATGCTTAGAACCAGTCTGAAGAGCTGAACAGTTGATGATTGATGAGGACACTAATAAACTGTCTACAGATGTTTTCCACATCTGTTATTTCTGCATGAACTGTTTGTTATCACCTACTTGCTACTTCTGGAATGATTCTTTGACAACACTTGTGGCATGATTATATTAATATGACTGGTTCACAGTCATGTTTTTCCTGCATTTAATGTCACTTGTGTGTGCTAGGTTTGTATTGTGTATCTGTCTGGTAATGTGTCAACATAAATTAGGAAAGCCTGTTTCCTTTTATTGCCATTGGTGAACGAAGTAATTCTGATTCTGAACATTTGAAAAAGAACACACACACTCGGGGAAATATGAGGGGCATGTCAACAAGATGTATAAACAAAAGTGCCTGCAGGAAAAAAAAAACTGGAAAGGGTTTGTTCTTGAACTGCTGCTGAATAGATTTTGAGAGCGAGCCTAGTTTCATACTTTATTCCGAATTAATTAAAATGATGTCACAATACATGGACTCGCAACTCAAACAAGTGTTTTCACTTATTTGTGTGACTGTTGAATCAGCATCACCTTGACTTTGTTTCAAGCAACAAACAAACAGACGTAAAATTGCTAATAACATGAGAGCTGCCATGATGATTGAACGCCAATTTGAAAGATAATCTTATGTGCTTCTGTTACTCACATACAGTATATCACATTTGTTTGGTATATAGCAAGTCTATGATGAAAGCTATAGACTCTGCACAGTGATGAAAAGGCTCCAGAGCCAAGAAATAGCCCAGCAAATAACCTCCCATAAAATCAAAGTTTGATATTTTTACACTCAGGTTTTTGAACGGATTAAGCAAATGAGATATAAAGTGATATTAGTGAGCTTTAGAGGTGCTAGTTGGTGGATTTATTTACCATCTGGCAGACCTAGGCTAGGTGTGTCGCCCTGTTTTCAGTCTTTGTGCTATGCTAAGCTAACTATGTGCTGTGCTGGGTGTAGCTTACTATAAAGCATACAAATATGGGAGTGGGATCAGTCTTCTCATCTAACTCGCAACAAGAATGCAAATAATTTTATTTCTTAAAATGTCAAGCTATTCATTTAAAGCAGCAACAAGGAACTTTTATTTTCTGATGATTCTGTCAGGCCCTGTGGACAAAAGGGAGTTTCTACCACCTATTTCAATGACTTCAAGGTGAATCCAACCCTGTGGCAGGCATTAACTATACATACAATCTTCTTGCTGATGGTCTCATGTGCTTATGTAGGTCATATAGAGGCATCGGTATTCAATAGAGACTGTTTAACCAGCTAAAAACTCTGTGTAGTAGGTTTAACTATGTATAGATCTAAACCTCTACACATATTACACATTTGAATCTTACAGACAAACCTTCATTGTCTTCTGATGAAATATTAGCATAAGAAGATAAGAAGATATATGATGTAAAGAAGAGTAAGCTGAACACTAAAATATTTCTCTGATTTGTGGCTGGACAAGAAGTGTGTGGAGAAAATGTGAATGTGACTGATGCGTTTGTTGCTGAGTTTCCATTAAGAAGGCATTATTACTGGGAAATAATGATCAGAATGGGCTGTGTGAGCAAAACAATCATGTTTACATCCCTCAAGCCAATAAATAACATTACCCACTGAGCCTGTAGACAACCCCTCAAAACAA